TTTCTTTCCTTCCCAGCAGGGCACATTCACAGCCTTCTTGTCTTACCCCATTCTCCCCCGTTCCTGGGTCACTGCACTGAAATCACTCCAGGTGAATCCTCCACGGGCCCTTCCATTGTCAGACTCCGTCTGGGGATTGCAGGGAACTGTCTGGACCACCTCCTCATTCAGATGCTCTCCTCCCTCAGTTTCCATGGCGCCCTCTCTCTCTCCTCAGCTCATTCCTTGGTCGTGGGTCTTCTGAGGGCTCTCAGCCCTGCAGCCTCTTCTCGCTGTAGAATATTCTGGGCCGATTGTCTCTGGTCATGGCTACAAGCCTGCCTGCTCACTGATGGCTCTCTGCTATCTATTTCCAGGCCTGACCTCAGGTCTGAGTTTTAGTGTCATCGATGGAGCTTGTACACATGGGCCCAAGTCTTCTCTTGGATATAACTTCCAGATGTGGCCATGAGTCTTCAGAGCCAACATGTTCGAAATTAGATTTGTTATTTTCTTCTCCCAAATTTGCCTCTCTTCCTATATTGTCCTTCACACTTAGTGCCATCTCTACCCACTTAGAGAATTCACTCGGAACCCACGTGGGACACTAGACTCCTGCGAGGCCCTCATGCCCTCAACAATCCTATTGGTCCTGTCAGTTCTGCGCAACACCCCCCCAACACACACACACACATACCTCATGCATCAGGTCCCACCTCACTGGGTCCAAGTCTGAGCTCAGGCCCTCAGGGAGGACTGCACTAGCCTCTCAAAGTACAGTGCTCCCCTCCCACCTGCCCATGCATATGTAAGCCCACTGCGGCTAGAAGGCTCTTTCTCACACCCAGTCTTTTCCCTTCCAGCTAAAACTGTGCAGGGATTCTCCACTGTCTAAGAACCTCATTGCTGTTTATCTCCCCCAGACTCATCCACACACCCACACCTGAACCCTGTGCTCTGCTTGGGGAAATATGCCTGCAGATCTCAGCCCCCCTCTTAATTGTCACAGGCTGCTACACCTGCCTGCAAAACCTTCCCTTCCGCTCTTCCCCTGGTAAAGTCCTTCTGCCTCCCCAAAGACCCAGTTCCCACCTCCCGAGCCTGCCCTAACCTCCCCAGGGTGAGCTGAGCTGTCCTGCTCTGTGTTCGGTTCATGTCCACCCACACGGTTTGTCACGGCCCCGCTGGACGTCAGCCCTGTTTGTGTACAGGTGTTGCTTCTCCCCCGTGCCATCTGTGCTTGCACTGTCAGCACGGAGCACAGGAACTGGCACACTCTGCCTATTAGGGGAGACGATGTTGAATAAAAATACACAAGGGCACGACTTTGGGGTGAGGCGCCCAACTTGAGCCCTAGCAGATATTCATAGAATTGCACAACTTGACAGAGATAAAGCCCAAAATTGGAAAGAAAATTCAGCCTATTCTTCATCTATTCAAACTTCATATACGAAGTATACCTTCTTGGGGTCAGGCACCACTGTCCTGGGTACCAGATTCCAAGATGATTTATTCTCTGTTCTGGCCCTCAAGGAACTCAGAGGCTGGTAGTTAGAAAGCCCAGGAAAGAGCATCCCTGGCTCCTTAAGGTGCAGTGGCCTCAGGATGGATGAATGTGTGTACTCCTCTTGTGGGGGGGGTGTGTGGAGGAGGGTCTGTTTCACCCTCGATGTTGTAACTGGAAACAAAGATGAGGAGCGAGAAGACTTAAACTTAGTTAGGCATGTGGTCAGCAGCATCAGCAGAGTGTGCTTGGGCTGAGGATCTTGATCCCTAACGTTGACAGCCAGGGGCCATGAAAAGATCTCAACCTTGGGCCGCAGGTGCCTGTGTAATATCTCCTGGCTGGCATTCGTGTTCACGTTCCATGTCTGCATCCAGAGATCAACCTCTGTGTCAGTATCTGTACGTATGTGATGTGCTGTTCTGGGTGGTATGAGGAAGTAAAAGATAATTACAAAAAATCCCATGCTAAGAAATCTAAACTCTACTAGGGCAGCTAATACATGTGTACAATTTACCAAATCCTGCTGGGCCGGGTGGCTCATGCCTGTAATCCTAGCACTCTCAGAGGCTGAGGTGGAGGATTACTTGAGCTGAGGAGTTCAAGACCAGTCTGAGCAAGAGCAAGACCCTGTCTCTACTAAAAATAGAAAAACTAGCCAGGTGTTGTGGCAGGCACCTGTAGTCCCAGCTACTCTGGAGGCCGAGGCAAGGGGATTACTTGAGCCCAAGTGTTTGAGGTTGTGGGTGGCGCCTGTGGCTCAAAGGAGTAAGGCAACGGCCCCATATGCCAGAGGTCAAACCCAGCCCTGGCCAAAAACTGCAAAAAAAAAAAAAAATCTGTTAAAAAAGAGTTTGAGGTTGCTGTGAATTATGACACTACAGCACTCTACTCAAGGCAACAGAGTGAAATTCTGCCTCAAAAAATAAAGAAATAAAAAAATAAAATCTACTAACAGAGCTAATACATGTATACAAATAACCAAAAATGCAACAAATCCTAGGATTATGGAGTAGAATCTACAAAATGCTTTGAGTTTCCACTCTAAGCTCAGGTGTTTTGGGTCATTGGGCTTACCGGTTGGAGTACAAGGCTAAATGGGGCCAAAGGCACAGGCCAATTACCTGGGAACAGCTCTTCTCACTAATCACAAGCGAACCCACAGCTGGCCACATTCCAGTAAACCACATTGTGCATAAATTGGAGAAGCCCGTTAGATACCGGGGAGAGTCAGTCCAGCACAATTCAGACTTTGCTGTATCTTCCCTAAGCCCAGATACCTGCTCTCCTATCCCAAATCATGTGAATTTAAAATGCCCCAAGCTTTAAAATATATGCTTTCCCTTTATGAAGTTAACATGATCATTTCTGTGTTTTTATATAAATTGATGCATCGAGTTCGAAAACACTTTTTAAATCAGACGGCATATTATACAATTTTTAAAATCCCAGTTTTAAAAAAGTATTGCTTGGTTTCAGAGGAGAAACAGCCTTTTGTTGACACGGATGTCAGGGGAACAGCACTAAAAAAACATCAAAGATAGTCACACACACATATCCCAGAGTATTCAGAGGGAACACCCTCTGTCTTTCCCATATGCGGCATGGAAAACGGGGCCAGAACGATCCTGCAGAAACTTCCTGATGAAAACAGCCCCGTCAGCCCTTCCCCAGCTTGGGGCTGGCTGCCTAGTAACCCCAGCCAGGGCTGCCACACTGTGCCTCGCAGACAGTGGCAGCCTGCAGCAACAAGAGGGCTCACGGAGTGCGGTCCTCCAGACCTGGCTAGGTCCGGGGGACAACCCTTCTACCCAGCCCCATTTGGCAAAAAACCCTCCGGATTAGCAAATGGGGAGTCGCAAGAGCCAAATTCACACTGCCTCCCCGGCCCTCGGCACCCACCTCCGGGGCTAGTCACTTCCTCTGACCCCCAGCACCCAGCTCTGCTGGGGAGCTCTAGGGTCTGCATTCCGCAAAGAGCTTTTGCAAAAAAATCAAACCATCCCCTCCCGCAATTGGGGTGGGAGGGACCTTCTTTTTTCTTTTACCACGAAAGGGCAGGTTATGGGATTCTCCAACCCCACTCTCACTTTAAGTGTGCAAAATTCTCCCATCCTCGCGTTGAGGCTGGGCAGTTTCATCGGCCAGCACTTTGTGCGTTCTTGGCCCCAGGCTAAGTGCTCTTCCCGTATTACCATATTTAAGTGTCCCAGCAGCCCTCTGAGGTAGGTGTTATTATCTCTAGTTTACAGAAAATAACTTGCCTGGGACTTAAAACTAGCTGGCTTTTGAGCCCAGTTCTGTTTTGATCCCCAAATTCTACAACTTTATTGCTGTTCTTTGTATAGCGAGGATAAGAATAATATTAATAATTAATACTTATTGAACAATTACTTCAAGCCAGGCACTGTGCAAAGCATTCCTACAAATCACTCTCAGAGGCAGTCTGCCACTTACCAGTGGTGTGACCTTCAGCAAATTTCTTAACCTCTTTTTGACTCAATTTCCCTGTCTGCAAAATGCGGCTGAAAATATGGTTGTTGTAAAGAGTAAATAAGTTAATATATATAAGGCCCTTAGAACACTGACTAACGTATAATAAGCCCTGAAGATTTTGTCTTTTTTTTTTTTTTCCAAAACCATCAACTCTATTTCACTGGTGAGAAATCTAGGCTTAGAGAGGTTAAGCAACGAAGTGGCCCGGACTGCCCAGCGCACACCCTGCACAGATCCGCTCAGAAGTCATGCGGAATGGGGACCAGCCGGCAGGGGATTTGCGCCGGGCAGGTGGGAGACTTGCTTCTCTGGCGTCGCTGCGGAACGCGCTACAGCCTGGAGGCCTCGGATGGTCCAGCAGGAAAGGCCGGAGGTCCGCCGCGCTCCGGACCTAGCTTTACCGCCTGCGAAGCACTGTGGGGGAGACACCTGTAGGGGACACCTGTGCACAGAGGCTGGGTGCCCGCCCGGAGCCCCGCGACCCCCGCACATCCCCCCGGGCGCGGGGCAGCTGCCCGCAGCTCGGAGCCGGCCACCCGCCCGCACCCCCCAGCCTGCGGCGCTCCAGGGCGGAGTTTCCTCCTCTGCTCATTGTTCACTGCCCAGCGCCCGCCCAGCTCCGGCCCCGCCCGGCCCAGCCGCCGCCGCCGCGGGCGCGCTCCTGGGGGAGGGGAGCGGAGGAGGAGGGGAGGAGGAGGGGAGGAGGAGGGGCGGGGGCCAGCGCGGACGGGACGGGAGTCGCCGCTGCTGCCGGCGGGGCCGCAGCCGCGCAGACGCCGCCCAGGACGCAGCCGCCGCCGCCGCTGCTCTGCCGCTGGCTCTGCGCCCCAACCCTGCTCTGCGGCAGCGACAGGGAGAAAGGGCCGCTGAGCGCGACTCAGGAGTCCCGGGCCACCGCAGGGCCGTAGGAGCCAACGCCAGGCCTCCCAGAGCGGCGCCCACGCTCCCACCACCCGGACGCACGGACCCTCCCTCCTCTAGTCCCGCAGCCACCTGCTCCCGGCCCCGAGGCGAGGACACGATGCGCTCAGCGCTGGCGCTCTCGGCGGCGCTGCTGCTCCTGCTGCCACCGCCGTCGCTCTTCGACAATGGTGAGTGGCCGCCGGACCCCCACCGTGCCCGTGCGTTCCCCGCCCCGCCAGGCTGCAGGGAAGCCCCGCGCGCCGCATGGTCAGACCCGGAGCGTCCACTTTGTAGCTGGGGCCACACGCGGAACCCTGACCTTGCACCATGCACGCCTCCTGCAAACTCTATTACGCCACAGGTACCGGGCTCGAGCGCGTATTAGTCCCCAGTGTCCACTCGGGAGGAGTGGGCGGTGGATTGTGTCGGGGCAGAAAGGGGTGCGCCAGCTGTGAATGGGTTTGCGGAACAAGGAAAGGGATACTTTGGACACCGCGAAGCTCTGTGCTTCTGCGGGACCTCAGGGTCTGATTATGCGTTTTCTTCGTGTTGGGAGTGATCAGACAATATTGTGTAGTCGTTAATACCAGGCAAGCGGCAGACTAGAAACTCAAGAAGAGGTCCCTGAAGCAGGTGACAAGCTTCCAGTAATGCCTGTGCAGGCGATGAGCTTGCCGGTTCGCAGAGATGTTTTCCCAAGCAATGTCTGAGCTCAGGCTAAGCCCCCTTGAGCCCTGCTGGGGCAGGCAGAGGGAAGGAAGTGGACCTTCCACAGTCCTAGAGTCACCTGGCTGGGAGGGGGGCCTGCCTCCATGGCACAGGAACAGGTCCCTTCTCATTGCCTGATGGGACCGCGCTCCAGTTCCTTCATACGTGAGGACTAATCACTGCGAAGCAGCTCGAGCTGCATCTTAGACACACACTAGAAGATGCACCCGTCTTTCTTGAGCGGCACCTTAGAAAATGCCCGCTCTGTTTTCCGTCTAAAGGTGAAATGTTTCTGTTTCTCTTTTGGCAGATAGATGCTGGCTGCAAACCCAACCATAACAGTTTTCCCAAAGCCCCCAGGGACAGCGGGAGTCCCAGCCCCAGGCCCACCTCCAGGCGGAAGGAACCTTTCTCAGTCTTTCTTGTCTACTGAGCACGTGTCTGCAGGGAGAAAGAACAGAGGTGGTGCCCCCACCTTAGGGTAGAGATAACTGCAGTGACAACCAGACTCCAGAGGGGGACTCTGTTGCTGGCTGGTGGTTTGGGTCTGGACTCTGAGCGGGAGGGGAAGATGGGATGGGGACAGTCTCTGCACCACTGGAACCTCTGGTGGCGGGCAGGGATTGGCATGCGTGCAGGTGAGCATGCAGGCAGCAGGAAGGGCATCTTCTCCACAGCCAGATTCCACCAGCTTGACCAGAAAGGGAAGAACACCCGCTGGGGGAAGGGTGTGTGCCCCTGAGGAGGGGCCTCAGCTGAGAAACAGTGGCAGCAGCTTTGGGACAGCTGCTCACCACATATTTGCAGAGTCTGCAGGGATTGAGGTTGAGGAGATGCTGGAGTATGGAGGGTCTACTTTGTCTGGCTCTTGGAACAGCGGGACATGGACATATCCTACCCCCCACCCCCAACTGCTAGAATTCTGTGATTTAATCACAGAATCTTCCTAACAAAGGAATTATCCCCAGACAGGTGCTCCTGTCTGCCCAGCAGTCTACAGTTAAACTTAGGGGCCCAACCATACATTAAAAACCTTTTCTGTGCTTTTGGTTTGATCACTATTTGGCAGAGCCACATGGCAAGTCATACCTCTGAGCCTCAGTTTCCTTATCTGTGAGATAGAATAAAAAAGCAGAAAAGACCTCTATCACTGCCAAAAGGATGGGTTGACCTGGTGCTATCAGTCTGATAGAGTCATTCGATGGGTGAATTCTAGGAGAGAGAAAGGCGACTTGGTGTCGTGGAAACACTGAAATCGGGTCAGACTTGGGTGACTATGGACAAGATAATGAACTTTTCTGAGCCTCAGTTTTTCCATCTGTGAAATAATAACAGCACTACCTGGTGGGTTGCTCTGAAGATGAAGGATAACATATGTTATGGGCTTGGCCGTGTGCCCAACTGGCAATCAGTGTTCAAGAAATAGTTGTGATGATGGCTTGGCTCCTGTAGCTCAGTGAGTAGGGCACTGGCCACATACACTGAGGCTGGCAGGTTCAAGCCCGGCCCTAGCCTGCTACACAACAGTGATAACTACAACGAAAAAATAGCCGGGCCTTGTGGCAGGTACCTGTAGTCCCAGCTACTCAGGAGGCTGAGGCAAGAGAATCACTTAAACCTAAGAGTTTGAGGTTGCTGTGAGCTGTGACACCATGGCACTCTACCAAGGGTAACATAGTGAGACTCTGTCTCAAAAAAAAAAAAAAAGAAAGAAAAGAAATAGCTATGATGATTACTAAAGCGCATGTATTAAGCACCTGGTTATTTGAGGGTACCCTAAGCATTGTAGGTGTCAGCGGATGTATAATAGTAAAAACCCCCGACAGCCCCAGCCCCACTCAGTGGGGGAGGTGTGTGTAAAAGAGTGAGGTCAGGGGAAAGCTTCCTGAAGAAGGTGGGGTTTTCACACAGGAATTTTAAAATAAATAGGGTCAGTGATTGCTAGTGTGGCTGAGGCTCAGTATCCTGGAGCATGCAGGGGACATCAGATTAGGGACTGGGGGGGTTTGAGATGAAACCAGTGAACTGCAGGAAGGCTTTGGGGGAGGAAATGAGCTCTTAGAACTGGAGAGAAAGTTCCATGGGATGGAGTGGGCACTGTGGATGCTTCTAGCATGCTGCTGCTTGGGACAGGACTCTGAGGCAAGAGTGAGCAGCACTTTGGGGGTTGGGAGCCAACTTGCCATGGGAAGCATTAGGTGGCAGTGCTGCCCTCGGCCTGGAAGAGGCACTGGCTCAGAGGTGGAAGAGGCTGCCCCACCTCCCCTTTCCTGAGGGATGCGTGGAGGCTGCCCCACCTCCCTTTTCTTTAAGAATGCTTGATAGGGGCGGTGCCTGTAGCTCAAGGAGTAGGGCACTACTCCTCATATACCAGAGGTGGTGGGTTCAAACCTGGCCCTGGCCAAAAAAAAAAAAAAATACTTGATAGAAAGGAGGGAGCTCCTGCTGGTAGGGGTTTGACATTGACACCTCTGCCCTTGGGATGCTGGGAAGGGTTAGGGTTCCCCTGGGGAGGGAGGATGGAGAGTCTAGGATGGTCTGTGTGTGTCTCCCCCACTGTGTGGTGAGCCCAATAGTGCTGATAGCCTACCACTGCCACCTCCAGGGGCCAGTGCAGACCCAGCACCAAGCAGCTCGGAGCTGGCCCCAGCCTTGGCTTCTGGGTCTCTGGAAGGGGACCTGCCCAGGACACCTCCATCGCTGAGGGTAGGGATGTCAGGCCAGTAGTCTCTTTCTCCAGCAGTCAGAGCGGGTGGGAGAAGCTGTGGAAGGTCGGGGTTTCTGGGCAGGGGATCCAGGGTCCGTGCTCTGAACTGCTCTGACACTGGTGGCAGCTGTGAAGACAGCTCAGCACTAAGCTCAAAGCCCTCCACCTAAGGAAAGTGGGAGGACCCCTCCCTATAGCTCCTTGAGAGAGACTTCTTGGGAGGGGATTTAGATGCCCCCTGCCAGCAAAGGGACTGCTGCTTCACACCTTTCCATGTGGGCTCCATGGGCCTCTTCACGGCAGCCGACTCAGCATTTGCCCAGGTGGAAACTTCTCCTCCACAGTGGAAGATGTTGCTCTCCCATCCCCCACTGGGAGACTTCATTGGCCCTCAACTCTGGGCTCATTTCCTATTTGTGCCCGCTGGGTACCCTGCAGGGCAGGAGCTCAGCTGCTGGGGTTTCTGGTCCTGTCTTATTCCCAGGAACATGGGTGAGGTTGGCCAGATCTCTCTTTAGACAGAGTCCTGTCCACTTTGTGTTGGAAGATCACACAAGGTAGCAGATTTGGAATTGTGTCTCTTCAGGCCACACAAGGCAAACAACTGTGAGTATACTCTATAAGGAAATCTATACAAAACATGCATTAAAGAACCTCCTCATATTTGCAGCAGCATTTACCATAAGATTACTCCAAGTCAGTGGCATACCGCCATTCAAAATGGAGTTCAACTGGCAAAGGATGATTTCCATATTACTTCTAAATAACCCAGAAAATCACAGGATGCAGAATTCTAGAGCTGGGGTGTCTCCTGGAAATCACCTACTATCCTCCACTCGTTCAGATGGGGGAATGCAGACCAAAGAGGTGGGCTCAGTCACCCAAGTTCCTAGTGACACCCAGCAATGGCCTCCCAGGAGATGAGTGTGTGCATCGTAGGTGCTGGGAGTGAAAAGTGGCCCTTACTGTGCTGATTCTCTCCTGGGAATTGGGGAAAGCCAATGAAATTCCTTTAAGAGGTTTTTGTTTGTTTGTTTGTTTGTTAGTTTTTAAGAGACAGAGTCTTTGTCGCTCTCAGTAGAGTGCTGTGGCATCAAAACTCACAGCAACCTCCAGCTCTTGGGCTTAGGGGATTCTCTTGCCTCAGCCTCCCAAGTAGCTGTGCCAGAGGCACCCGCCACAATGCCTGGCTATTTTTTTGTTGTAGCTTGGCTGGGGCCGGGTTCAAATCCACTAGTATATGGGGCTGAGCCACAGGCACCACCCCCTTTAAGAGGGTTTTATGAAAGTGACAGATGTATCTTGTGCCCAGATCTCTCTCCCTACTCTTTCCCCATCATAGTAAAATGAACTTCCTGAGGGCTCCCTGAGTTCCCTGAGTTCCAGTTGCAGTGCTGGCCACTGTGCGTTGTGACTGTATGTGTCTGTGTCTCCTGCTGGCCTATGAGTCCCCATAGTGTCCACGGCCTCCAGCCAGTACCGGGAACAGTTAGGTGGTTGAGAGATGCTTGCAGGACAACTGACTGCCCAAATACAGAGACCCCGCTGTGGGTGCAGCAGCAGCTTCTGCTCACATTGCCCTCATCCCTAACTCTTGGGTTAGCCCTATTCCCACCCTGGACCACTGTAGCAGTGGCCAGCACAGACTCCAACTAAGACCAGCCATCGGGCTACCTCCCTTGTCTCCACCCCTTTCCCCGACACATACCACCACCACCCTCTCTTCCTCTGTAGCTTTATCCCCCTCGGGTCAGCCACCTTGCACTTCCCTAG